CTTCCAAACTCCAGAATCCATTGAATACATCAAGGAACTTTATCTGACAACAAAATCTTAAATCTGGCGACGACGGCAATACCAAAAGATTTCAAACCTCCTCAAAAATACGACATTGAAGAAATGAGATCCCAGGCTATTTACTATTTTCTTATTCTCTACACAATTACAAGCTTAGATGTGAAAACATGGGTACCGATCATTTAAGCATTCCATACCACACGACAAACGAATCTATTAATAGAAGACAACAATCTTGCTTCTTAGAGATAGTCTCGCCCAACACCGCAAGTTGCTACAGAACCAAAATATTTACCTCAAAATTCGAGTCATGTTCTTCAACAGCTTCGTCAGATCGAAGCTTTCATATGGATGACATAGATGTGCCAAATCCATTCAGAAATATCTAAACTGTCAATTGTATGCAATTGCTTTCTAAGATCAATGGTCAAAAATGGCTTTGAGCGAGTGAATCATGTGGGTGTTGGCAATGATCTCCCTTTTTTCAACCTTGTTGATTGGCGCTACAGAATGACTAAGAACTAAACTAGATAACAGAAATCACGTCACTTCAGATCTTTAAACAGCATCAACAGCTAAAATTGATATCACATGTAACCCGAAGAGAAAATAATGAAATAATCAAGATGTTCGCTTTCCACACTACTTCAAATAAAAGGTTAGGAAGGAAACTCCCATCAATACTAGAAAGAGCAATAATAGCTACTGAAGTTCAGAAAACATGAGTTCATGAAAAATTGTTTTAAGAGAAAGAGTTTTAAAATTTTCAACTGACAACAGCACTGGCTGCTCGGTCAGTGAATGCCGAATGTTTCCTTATAAGGAAACGGTTAATATTACCATTACCATTGTCATCATCTTTGTTTTTGTTATAGCAAATTTCCGTCGTCTTTCACCAGATGATTTTCGATCCGAGTAAAATTCAAGGAATTTTTTAACTGAACACTTTATTTAAGCTAGGGGGTAGATTATTCTCATTCCACTCTCAATGTAAAAGGATTATCTCGTCTACACACTACCTGGGTCAAGGATTGAGCTCATAATTACTATGTTGCCAAATCCCCGACCTAACACTTAAATCATCTGTCTAATGTTGACGTTCTATGTACAGATATTTTTCCAACTTGAGTCTGACATATACCAACAAGAGGAAGGCTTGGCTATGGGTTCTTCGTTGTCACCAGTGATGACAAGAATATATATAGAATACTTTGAGGAAATGGTTTTAGGGACGCTACCACTGAAGCCAACGATATTGTGGTACTTGGACAATTGGCCGACGCACATGTGGCTGACGGTTATTTAACCGAATGGATATTTAGCCGAAAATGTAATGGCGTACTTACATGTATGCCACACACTTTATCGTAATGTGCTACATATATTTATATTTATTTACTGTATTAATTTATAATTTTTCATTTTTTTTACAGGCTTTTTCTTTTAACTTTATTCTGTATATATTATATTTTACTTCAAATATTACTGTAAGATGATAGGTATTTTGAGAAAAAGCACATTTTACTGCAGCAAAAATCTTAAGCTTTTATGATATGAAAGATTTTTCAATTTCGCTTTTAATGATCATTATCTCACAAGGATGAACTAGCTTTTATCTTGCTGTTAAATACGAATTAAAAATAATTAGGTGCTACATTTTACCCAAATGCACTCAAATGTTTTTTTTTTTTTTAATACGAATTTCAATAAACAAATATTTAAATAAGAAAACTTTAAATTTCGATTTAGTAATTTATTCACTTGAAATTCATTAGTAATTATTAGTCCTATTATACGTTATAATACTACTAATTAAAATACATATTGCTTGATACTATTTTTATTTATACTTTTTCGGTGAAATGTTTCTCGACCAAATGTCCGGCCACGCGGTATTGTTGAAATACGTAGATGGCGTATTCATGACATTTCAGTCTTTGTACGCTCCGGCCTTCATCAGGATCTGTAGATACTTCTGAGATGAGGCATTGTAACTATTTACAGTATTTATATCGTTCTGAGTGTTTTCCTCATCTTTATTGCCATATTCATGTTGAATATTGTAATAAAGATGCGGGCAACAGTTGGAATGATGTAAGTAGCGGAATTTATTATTAATCTACGTAAGATTGTAGAAATATAAGCGATGGGTTCATAGAGCTGTGATTTTGTTGAATGTTATATGCTTCATATATATATATACACAATAAATACATACACACCACCCACAACACACACACACACACACACATATATATATATATATATATATATATATCAAAATGTAGGAGAACAATAAAATTAAAGCGTTCAGAACATTAATTTAAAAATAGTGCTCCATATACAAAGTAGAGCCGTAAATATATATTTATCTTATTTTTGTTTCAACTTCAACAAAAGGAAAACATTTTTAAACGTCTCATCAGGTGGGTAATCATAGTGTTTAATTTAACTATATATATATATATGTGTGTGTGTGTGTGTATATATATATATATTTATATATATATATATATATATAATATAGCTGGTCAATGTAGGTGATTGCTGGGTGACCAGCCTGTCTTGATCCATGGCTAATTGTCCAGAATAATAGATCATCACCATCAGTGTCCCGCAAAGCACAATATATATATATATATATATATATATATATATATATATATATATATATATATATATAAAGAGTTTATAGTGGTTCCAACGAGATAAAAGTGTATATATTATAAAGAAGAGAGATACCGCAGACGTTTTTGGTTGTAATGTGGATTTTATTTTAAATATTATGGTTTATTTTCCATAATTTTACTACACGTGTTTCTGGTCTCACGACCGTCTTCAGGTAAAAGGCGGAGATTTCCACATATTATTAAAAATAATTAATTTTTTTCTCCTTTATGTTTTTCGATGTTAAATATTGTCGATATGTGACATTCTCTGTTTTTGTGTTAGTAATCCGAATCGTTTGTAATTTATTCCGAGCGCTTTTCGGTTATATAGCCATTATCAAGGATGATTTTATTTTTTCAATTTAACTGGGTATGTGCGTTGTGTATGTTTTTAGCGTGTTATAGAGATGTTTTATTTTCAGCCGTGTTCGTTGTTAATATCAAGTATTCGCTTTTTGATTATTAAAACTTCCATTATTTCTAATCTGTTTTTTACATATGGATGAGGTTATTATATTTGTATTTTCTACTCGTATGTTTTCAATGGAGTTTGGCAAATTTGTGCGTGTGTGTTTAAATGGGTACTGTTGTCAGATAGGTGTAAAGTAAGTCGTCTGGATAGGCATGTAGTAGTGTGACTGATGTAATTATTTATGAATTCCGTTTAATCAGGAACACAGTTCCTTAAGGGACATTTGAACTCATAGATAATGTTCGTTCATTGTAATTTTAACTTTGCTGGTGTATTGTTATTTTTGAGGATAAGGTTAAACTTTTATAGTAGATAATTAATTGGATTTTTTTTATTCGGGTCAGTTAGGGTCGTGTATTTCTTTATAATATTGCTAAGTGAAGATTCGTGTTGTTTGTAGTTGATATGCAATTGATTTTTGTAGAAAATATTTATGTTATTTTTGACTGTATGTTCACCATCGTTGTTATTTACTTTGGGGAGAAATAGTCTAATTTGGTTATCTATAAGGTGGTAAGAAAGCCATTGTTAATTAGTGTTTGTTTTACATTATTGAGTTCTTTAAGGAAGAGTAGTCGAGAGGATGAATTCTGGTGTGCTCATTTTTTTATCACTACTATTTTGTATCTGAGTGAGAATTCACTTTTAAAGTTAAGGTAGCAAACGTTTCTGCTAGTGTTTATATATATATATATATATATATATATATATATATATATATATATATATATATGAGATGATAAAAGTGTTGTTACTGTATTCTACGGTAACATCTAAGAATGTGAGTTTATTTTTTTGTTCGTAGGTAAAGTTAAGGACAGTATTTTTTTCAAATGTAGTGTTATTTGCTAAAATAAAAGTATCGTCTACGTTGCGGACATATATTTTAGGTTTACAGACCAGTTTAAATATCATATTTTCTACATGGGACATGTAATAATTGGAAAATTATGGGCCTAGTGGATTTCCCATACTAACACCATTAGTTTCGGTGTAAATGTTGCCATTATGATCATAGAATGGGACTTTAGTTGTGCATGCGTGGAGTAATTTTTTTAAGTATAGATGATTTGATGGATGACGAAGGGATAGAATTAATAGTATACACAGAATATATACAGGGAGCGATTGATAAATTGTCGTCTAAATTACGTTAAAATGAAAATAACACACATTTTGACCGATATATTTACCAAAATTACACAAAAATATCTTGAAATAATAAAGAGTAAATTTATTCAATAAAATCTCCTCCAGACGACTATGGAATCTCCTGCAACTCTTCTGGATGATATCTTTGTTTAAGTCGATGAATGCTGCCATAAAGCTTGCCTTCAGTTCATCTTTTGCGTTTTAGTTTTGTTCTCTCGTTCAACTGCGCCCCACACATAATAATCAAGAGAGTTGGGGTCTGGAGAGTTAGGTGGCCAGATATAAAGACTGATGTGGTAGCAGAAATTGTCTGACAGGTATGATTAAGTTCTCCTACTTGTGTGGCATGGTGCAGAGTCCTGTTGTCAGACATAGGGTCTTCCTTGAGCCACTGTCTTAACCCAAGGCAGCACTACCTACTCAAGGCGGTTGATGTGGGCCTCCGTGTTAAGCCTGAGTCTTTATAGGAAGATGAATCGAGGCATAACTTTGCCATTATTATTGATCACAACAAAGACCGTCGTAATCAACATTGGACTCTTTCTAAATCCTCTGTATTGTCCTGAGACTGACACCCAAACACTCTGAAATGTTCACATTGGAACTTCCAAGCATTTTACAGAATGCCTGTTTCCAAATTTCTGTATACCGAATTTCCAACTTTTTCTGGATGTCCAAATGGCTTATCATGAATTGCAGTCGCAAGGGTGCAAACGAATGCGCAAAAAAAAAGAAACATGTCCAAATGCCATCTTATTCTCTCTCTCGAATGTCTCTCTCTGGACTTAAAAAATCAACGATATAAATATATATATATATTAAATAAAATCAAACAAAAGAAAAGTTTACCCATTTGACCATATTTTTTCTCTCTGGATTCTCTATTTCTCTCTCTTTCTGGAATAAAAAAAATTCTGAATTATATATATATATATATATATATATATATATATATATATATATAATATATATATATATATTTTTATTTATATTGATGTACAAATGAAAGAAGCTTTACACAACTATTTAAATAAATTAATTATTTAATAAATAAATAAACCAGAAATGATTTGCTTTTTAAAGTTCCACCCATTAATATTAAATTTTAAATTTATTTAAATTTAAAAAAAAAAAAAAAAAAAAAAATTTAAATATAACTTAAATTGGAAAAATAATCTTTTTTAATAATTTTCCTTTTTTAAAAAATATATTTAAAATAAACAATGAAAAATATTTTAAAATTTTAAAGTTGTAATTTTGAATTTGTAATTAAATTATAGTTAAATTGAATGAATTTCTAATAAATTTCTTTTTTAATAATACTACATACATAAATAAAAGAATATATAGTAAAATAAAATTAATATATATATAACATGTAAGCTTATGAATGACCCATGTCCTAAGTACTTACATGGAAATATTATAATAATAGGTTTATATATAAAAAAAAGTTTACTGAATCAGTGAAATAAATATAAATATTTCTGCTGTCATAGTCATATATAAAAAAAAAAAAAAAAATGTATTTCATATACATACTTAAACTTAATGTTAAAATAAAGATACATAATAAAATGGATCTAATACATTTAACTGTTCTTAAAAAGAATATAGTAAAATAAAAATTAAAAAGGAAAATATTTCAAATCGTAGTTAAATAAAAGTATTGTAAAAATCTTTAATTTTAAAAGATGACGAAAATTTTGAAAAATTTTTTTTTTTTTTTTTTTTAAATTCAGACGACATCCATTCAACTGACGTCAAGTTTCATGTAAAATACATCCTCACCCTTACCAAAATGTAGCTAATATATGATACAATATACTGTCATAAGGAAAATCTAGACACCCCGTGTTCAATTTGAGTAGAATATTCTGTAACCATGGAAACGTGATTTTAGCTTTGTATTTAAAACCCGGTAAAAAGAACAAGTTACTCCAAAATTCGCTTGAAGATGAAATGGAACTAATGCTTTTAATTTATTTGCAAAATAAAATTAGGGGTTTTAGCTTCTATTTTTGAAACATGGTTGGAAAAGAAAAACCATATTTTAAATCAATTAATTTATAAATATATATATATATATATATATATATTCATATGAATATATTTATATATATTTTCAAATAATCCGATAGATAGATACATATATTCATAGATAGATATTTAAACATTTTATTTATAAAAAATAAATGAAATCGACAAGAGAAAGAAAAAATAAAATAAGAATAAGAGAAAAGATATAGAAAATAGAAAAGATTTTTGAAGAGAGAGTTTATATATAAGCGTTGGAGTTTTTGAGAAGAAGGAGGGGTTGAATAATAATGTATAGAGACATAAAGAGAAAAAGGTTTAGGCGTTGTGTTGCGATTGATCGGGAGATAGATACATTGAATGAAAGAGCGAGAAAAAAGAGGGAAGAAGAAGAAGAAGAAGAAGAAGGAGAAGAAAAGGAAGAGGAGGAGACAAATAAGAGAGAGAGCAAAAGAGAGAATGATGAGAAAGGAATAAGTACAGAAATTGTAGGTCGTAAAAGAGCGACCGATAGAAAACAGAGTAGTTGCGTGTGTGAAAGAGAGAGAAAAGCTATGAAAGAGAGCAGTTAATAATGAAACAGAGAGAAAGAAAGAAAGAAAGTAAAGCGATATTAGGGAGAAAAAAGGACAAATTCTAAAGTATATACGTTAAAAAAATATACTAAAAGAAGGAAAGAAAGAAGAAATGTGAGCGTGATGGAAGAGAAAGAACGAGAGTATGAAGAAAAGTAAAAACAAAGAAAGAGAGAGAGAGAGAAAGAAAGAAAGAGAGAGGAAAGTATGCAAGAGAAAGCTGGTCTTTCGAAATCGAGATTTGGCGCGCATGACTGACTCGACGTTCAAATGAGCGTGAAATACATCGCTATTTCCACAGTAACGTTGTATTATTCTCTAATCAGAAGCGCTGCTTGTTTTCCGGTTGGGCCGAAGCTAAGCGAAAATACGCCAAAAACGACGCCATCTTACGTCACCCACCTCCTCTACCCTAACCTTCACCATCCGTTAACCATCTTCAACACCACCGTCTGCACATTCGCCATCTTACATAGCTTTTTTTCCCTCCTCTACCATCATCTCTTCTTTCCTTCAAACTCATTTTACTTCTAAATCCATTCCCCTTTTTAGGCCTTATTATTTTTACGTTTTATAAAAAAACTCTCGCTCTCACATACACATATACATACATACATACACATCACACACACAAATACAGACACACAAACAAAAAACCAAACCAAAAGTTATATTTAATAATTGATGACAATTATTTTTATTAAATATATATTACTATAAATATGTTTTATATATATATATATATATATATATATATATATATGGATTGAATATTTCAACAGCAATCTTTTTTTAATACAGGTTTCGTTGAATATTTATTCTTTGAAAGCATTCAATAAATCTTGTTTTGAATATTTGGTAGGACAGGTTAAACCATTTATATTTTAGCAGGAATGTATAAATTTCAAAAATATTTGTTTATATAAAAGGAATCGATAAAGGTATCCCTGGGTCAAGAGGGTGGCTTAAATAATTCATTTTAAACAGGACTCTGCACCATTCACACAAGCAAGAACTTTTAAAAAAAAGTAAATATCTTCTTAAAAAAAAAAAACCAATGAAATTTTAAAAAAATTTATTAAAATAATAATAATTATAATGACAATGATGATATTAAATTAGATCGATTATAAAGAATCGATATCCATATATATGTTTATGTGTATATATATATATATATATATTTATATATATATAATATATCCACTCGTATAAAAGGAAACCCGTCTACTAGGGTGGGCCAATCCAGTTATTGGAAGCTCGCTCAGTTTATTTGTTTTTGTTCAACACCCAATCCCCTTCTTATTCTTCTAAATTCTTCTTCTTCTATTTCTTCTTTATAATTGATTAATTTCAAATTTTCCCATTTATTCTCTGATAATATTATCTTGGGATTCGTCTTTCATCATCGACATACCGCTCTCTCTCTCTCTTATATCTTTCATATGTCTCTCTCTCTTCGTCCGTTTGATTTTTTATAAAAAAAAATTATTTTATTGTCAAAATTCCCCTTTTTTTTCTTTTGCTTTTTTACCCACTAATCCATACTTTATCGATGCTATTAAACCTTTTTCTTTCTTTCTCCTCTTCATTGTCTCTTCTCTCTTTCATTCTTAATTCTCCATCATTTTACTCGTCACTCTCTCTCACTCTCTCTCTCCCAATCTTCTTCTCCTCCTCCCTATTCGTCATACCTCTTCATAATTTAGAAAAGTAGACATTAATTAAACTGACCTTAAGTCTAGCACAAGACCACAAGACTACTGTAGTGAAACCGTTCAGGGGGATTGAACTCAATACAGCCAACTGGCTTGCTAACCATGATCAGGTGCATTATATTGTGTCCGCGTGTATAAATACGTGTGGGTGTTTGTACATTTATTTATGTCAGTGTATAGTATATCTACTATATATCTATATGTGTGTGTGTGTTATTGAGAAATCTAAAAAAGAAAAATATTTTAAAAAGAGGAAGTTTAAGAGAGAAAGATTCTTTATCCGCTTCGTGATTAATTTACCTTTGATTATTTTCAGCAACCATTCTCGATTTTTTTTTTTCATTCCTTTTCTGATTTTTTTTCTCAAATATTTTATTGATTCACGAAATTTTGTTAAATTCTAAAATCACGTAATTTATTATTTTTATTTTTACTTTTAATATATATATATATATATATATATATATATATATATATATATATATTATTTTATAAATCATATATTAAACAGAATTTTTTTTTCAATCTTTATGAAATGTACAGCTCTTAATATTCTGTTGTATTTAATATTTTATTGTTAGCAAAAAATTTTTTTTTTTTTTTAAAGGTGATCAGACAAACTTTTTAAAATTAAACCCAGTTGCCTAAATGAAAATAAAATGAAAGTTATTTTGAATATTTATATATATATATATATATATATATATATATATATATATATATATAATTATATTATTTATTTGAATTTTTTATTTTTGCACAATTTTTGCATAACTCTGAAGAAATGAATTGCTAGATAGAAAGATATATTATATATCTCAAATATCATTATAGTTTTAAATAACGCAACGTTTGTTTTCTGCCTGAAAGCAATCATCTGACTATTTTGAAATATTTTTTTGCAATTTATTCAAATTCATCTATATTCTTTCTTTCTATCGTCTCTGTTATTAATTTTCGTCTTTTAATTTATTTATTTTTCCATTTTATCTTGCAATTTCCTCAATACTATTCTTGATATATAAAAAATATAGCGTTATCTCATAACATATATATGTATATATGAGATAACTATATATACATTTTTAGATATCAAGAACTATTTGGGGAGGAAAATGTATGACAAAGTTGGAAAAAAATTTCATGTGACACGTTTCATCCTTTAGGACTACATCGGACAAAACTTGTTTGTTGTTGGAGCTACAATTCGTGATGGAAACAAAATCCTTCTGTCGATAAATATTTAAATTATATATATTTATATATATATATATATATATATATATATATATATATATATATATAATATATATCCAATATCCTTAAAAATGTATATATAGTCATACCAACATAGATTAAAGGACGAGCGTTTTAATAAACTATTTTTATGTCCGTGTTTGGTAAGACAAAATTTATTACGTTCGTGAAATTAAGACTATAAAAACTAAATTTTCAATTTTTTTTAAGACGATAAGTTACGTCCGTGATCTAAAATAAGACTATAATCTACCTCCGTGTCCAGGGTAAGATGATAAACTATTTTGTCTAGAAGCAAGGCCTCAATGATTTTTTCTAAAGGTTTATAGTGAGAATCTCTTCATTTGCCTATTTTTTTTTTTGGTGTTCCCAGGTCAAAAATGACTGGAGAAAAAGTAGCAAACAATCGGGATCACAATTGAAAAATAGTTAAAATAAATATGGTGTCAAATTTTATTATGAAAGTGTAAAAATAGGTTCTAATACCAACAATCTAGCAATGAAAAAAAAAATCAAAAATTTAGCAATAAATTTTTAAAGAATAAAATAAACCAGCAAGAACATTTTTCAAGAAAAAATATTACCAAAAATATGAAATTTTTTGAAAAAAATATTAGCAGCAATACATTTTTTGTTTTTATTACCCTTATTAAAAAAACTTGTTTTTATTAAATAATATAAATTGAAATAAAAATAGCTCTATCAAAAGGACAAAATATGATAGGAAAACTTCAAAACAGACTACTTTGTCATATCAAATATTAAAATTTCTAATGGATTCTATCTTCTTGAAATTATATTATATATATATATATATATATATATATATATATATATATATAAATAGATGAATAGATAGATAGATAATAATTGAAGAATAATATTAAAATCAATATATATTATATATATATATATATTTATATATCAATTTGGATTTATTTTTTTTTTTCTAAAATTTTAAAATTGATTGCAAATTGACATTTCTTTTTTGTTGATGATTCTTTTATTTTTTTTTTTCCGTTTGGTTTTTTAGGAGTAATGAAGTGCAAAAAACAAGTCGTTATTGTCCATTTCCCAAGGCTCATTTTTGATCATTAGAATAAACCTTTATGGTATCCAGACAGGATTTGTGTACAATATTTAAACAGTCAAGTACAAAAATAACTTGAAATTGATATTCAAAAAAAAATATATCTTGAAAATTAACGAAAATTGGCCGAAATCGATTGGGATAATGGACAATACGGATATTTTTAAAATTTAAACATTTTGAAAGATCAAACATTTAATTCGAGAGTTTATTAGTGAGAAATGCGATAGAAGAAATTGTTATTCATAGAAAATTCAATTACAAAGTCATATATATATATATAGAAAAAATATTTCATATCTATCTATCTATCTATTTCAATCAATGTTTATTATTATTCATTCTGTTCATATTCATCTTTGTCTCTATCCCAGTCTGTTTAAATATCTATCTATTCAGTCTGTTTAATAATAGAAATAAAAAAAATATCACATATAATAAATATCTATTATTACCAAAAAAAATCTATCTATCTATCTCATTTGAATATGTTTCATAATCTCATGTACAAATTGAAAATATCTAACACTCTAGTGAGCCATTTATAGTAATTTTGATTTCGTTACGAATAATTCGCCTTTATGTCCTCAATGATGAATTTTATTTATGGTATTTAATTTTGGGAAATTTTATTTGTTAATCAGAATTTAAAAATCTCCTTAAATGTGTTTAAAAATCTTTTGATATTATAAATTGATATCTACCTTAAAACATGATAATCAATAGGGGAAATAGCATCCATTATATCTGTTGTAAGGGACGTTTTTACACAGGCATATTTCTGTTTATGAAAACAGAAACCACCTTGGTTTATACTGCAATAACTAGAAATATTATCTGTATTGATTTTATTTTGAAAACAAATTCAAAAAAAAATAAGCCTCGGTCACGTATATTTTGATACAATTGGAAAAGGTTTTAAACGGTTATTCAATCTAAGAAAAACAAAATCACAAGGATTGGACCAAATTTCGTTAATATAAAGTGCCGAAATTACTGGGATTTTTTTAAAGGCCGATAAAATCAAATTATATTTCCTGAACAAATCGATAATGGTGACATTAAATCGGGTTCATTTCGGATAAATGAAATTTAAATTAGATTTTTCAAGTAACATCCAGGAAAAAATGTAAATGATTGATAAATAATCATTTAAATCTACATAAATATATAAGAATAGATAGATA